TTACTGTAGCTCTGTAGTATTGTCTGAAGTCTGGAAGAGTTATTCCTCCAGCCTCTTTCTTTCTCTTCAGTAATGCTTTGGCAATTCTAGGTCTTTGATGGTTCCATACAAATTTTATTATGATTTGTTCTAGTTCTGTGAAATATGTCCTGGGTAATTTGATAGGGATTGCATTAAATCTGTAGATTGCCTTGTTAGTAGTTTTCTCTCCTCCCTTCTACTAAAAATTTATCAATTTTATTGATCTGTCAGAGATAGTATTTGGTTTCATTGATTGTGGCTCAAATCTTTATTATTTTATTTCTTTTGTTGCATTGGATTTGATTTTATATTTTTTCTAGTTTGCTAAAGTGAAATTTTAGGTTACTTTAAGTCTTTTTTTCTTCCATTATAAACATTGAATACAATACATTTACCTCTAAACACTGCTTCAGCTGCATGTTGTAGATTTTGATATGTTGCATTTTAATTTTTATTTAGTTCAAAATACTTATAAATTTCCTTGAGCCTTATTCCTTAACCACATGGGTTATTTCAGTTTTTTTCACATTTTTAAATGTTTGAAGATTTTCCAGTTATCTTATTGATTTCTAGTTTAATTCTGTTCTGGTCTGATTGCATACTTTGTATTTCTTTTCTTTCATACATATTAAGGTTCATTTTGTGGTTCAGAATATGGCCTGTTTTACTTTCCCAAGTGCACATGAGGGGGGAATATGTATTCTACCATCAGATGAGTGCAACAAACAGCAAATAAGCATATGAAGAGATTTTCAATATCATTGGTCATTAGGGAAATGCGAGTTAAAACTACAGTGTAATATCCCTATTCATTCATTAGAATGTCTAAAATCAAAGAAACTGACAATAGCAAAAGCTGACATTCCTCAGGAATGAAGACAGAAGGAAACGTGGAACTTTAAGATTGAAGAAATAGTAACAGATATGGTAAACACGAGGTTGAATAGGATAGACTACTTTTTTTCCCTTAATTTGAAAAAAAATGTATGACTGTTAAAAGTGAAAATTATAACATTTCTTACGAGGTTTTCCATGTATGTAGATGTAATATATAATTACTATAACATAATAGGGAAAGGGAGAAGCTATAGGGACCTATAAAGCTGTAAGAATTCTACATTTTACTTTAAGTGTTAAACTGTTGACTCTAGATGGATGGTGAAAGTTCAGAGTAGGAAGATAATTTGTAAGCTTTATCGCAACCACGATAAAGTATTACAAGGATATATAGCCAAATTATAGTTTTATATATATATAGTTATATATAAATATATAATATGTATGATAAGTTAAAATGGCATGCTAAAAGAAATTTAAATAACCCAAAAGAAGGCAAGAAAGGAGAACAGAGGAACAGAAATAGAAGGGACAAGCAGAAAAAAAAAATCATAAATTGCAATACTTAAATGCAACCGTATTAATAATTACATTAAAAGCAAATAGACAACATCAGTTTTAAAACAGATGGAATCTGAGTGGATTGAAAAAACATTCAACTTTATACGTCTGTAAGAAGCCTGTTTCAACTATAACCTGTATGTTATTTTTAATCTGTTTTATAGGTTAAAGGTGAAATAATGCAAAACATTATACCATACAGACACTAATCAAATGAAATCTGAAATGGCTATATTAATATCTGGCAGTGTGAACTTCACAACAAGGAAAATTATTAGTGATAAAGAGGGACCTTACATAATTGTAAAAGGGTCAATTCATCAAGAACACATAAAAATCCTAAAAGTGTATGCAATGAACAATACAACTTCAAATTATATAAAGAAAATCTGATGGAAGTTAAAGAAGAAATAAAAAACTCCACAACTGTACGTTTCAATACTCTTTTTACAGAAATTGAAGAACAAATAGACAGAAAAGAAACCCAAACTTATAGAAGGTAGACTGTGTTCTGGGTCATGAAACAAATCTATAAAATTTAAAAGAATAGATTTGTACCAAGTGTGTTCTCTGGCCAAGATGGAATTAAACTAGATATCATTAACAGAAAGATACCTAGAAAATTCCCAAACATTTTCTTTTCTTTTTTTCCTTTTTTTAACTGTATAAATTTGATGTGCTGTGTAAATTTAATGTCTGTATCCTGTTACTTTGATACATTTATATATTATAATATGGTTGCTATTGTAATGATATTTATCACATAACATACTTACAGTATGATAATATTGTCAGCCTTCAGTTTACTATAGGTTAGATCTCTATGGCTTATTTAGTACTTGTTACAAGATTGAACCCTTAAACACCATCAATCTTTTTTCTGTTTGTTTCAGCATGCATAGTTTTATGTATTTATCTATTTATCTGTTATTTTTATTTTTATTATTTTTTAATTGAAGTATAGTCGGTTGACAATGTGTTAATTTCTGATGTACAGCATAGTGATTCAGTTATGCATCTCTATATATTCCTTTTCATACTCTTTTTCATTGTAGAATATTACAAGATATTGAATATAGTTCCCTGTGCTATATGGTAGGACCTTTGTTATTTATCTATTTTATATATAGTAGTTAGTATCTGCAAATCCCGAACTCCTAATTTATCCCTCTCCCCTCCCCTTTCCACCTTGGTAACCATAAGTTTATTCTCTATGTCTGTGAGTCTGTTTCTGTTTTGTAAATAAGTTCATTTGTGTCACTTTTCAGATTCCACATATGAGTG